GTGTGTGGTGTTCACACGTGTGCTGTTTCCAGCTCTATATATATATATATATATATATATATATATATATACACACACATATAGGTATCTTGTATGAATTATCAAGTGTGAAGCATATATATTACCGTGTGACCGAACGTAGAAATATTACAATATTTATAAAATCTATTAAATGTCGAGTGTGTGAGATTATGGGATGTTACAAACAAAAACTACATAACTCATTCAAAAAGTGTCATCACTTTTCCGTCAACTATTTAGATAACATTTTAAACAAAATTTATCAAAATAAAAATCAAATTGAACTCTTAAAAAAATGTAGAACACATTCAACAAAACAGAGATTAAGTCTAAAATATATAAATAAAAACAAATCTCATCTTAAAAAATGTAATATTGAATTAGATTTAAAATTTAATGTGTTAACCTATTACGTTTTCTTTTATGTAAATATATTTCATTTTAATATTAGAAAGACAGGTATATTTACTTTGAAAAGTCGAAGAATAATAAAAAACAAAGATGAAAGATTTGTTAGAATCTCCTTATTATAAATAAACATTTATATACAGTATATTCTTGTATTTTAATATTGTAAAATTATATAAAAAGTGATCAACCAAAGTGTTAAGGTGTGAACCACAGTAAAATTTAGGTCTTGGTGGAAAAAATGAGAGTGATAATTATTACTCTATTTCTGTTCATAGTTAGGGTAGTTGCAGAAGATGCTGATACTCATACAGTGAATTACACAGAGGCATACGAGTCTTCTGCATTCAAAAAGTTTGTGACACATTGCAGTTCGCATGTTGCAGAGACATGCAGTGAAAGTGAAGCAGTGCAAAAGGAAGATGGTGAAAAAACCGGAGCACATGGGTTAGGGCTTTGTCTTTTGGATTCTATGAAGAGTTGTTTGGTGGAGCATGGAGCCTCTCTTGAGGAAACAACTCCTACAAACCAAAAAGATTCGTCGGAAGATACCCGACTATTCAAGCCACCACCCATAAATGGCTTTCCGGTGCCGTTACCACCACCCATAAAATTCACAACTGATACTGTGAAAGTCATAGCGAAACCTCCTAGTCTTGCTCTAATCCAACCTCATCCACTCTCCATTGAAACTCTCAAATTCCAAGCTGTCTTGAGAACCTGCAGCCATGTCAGTTCACGCACGTGTTTCACTCATCCTGATGTTGTTACATTATCACCTTGTCTCGTTACATCTCTCAATCAATGTGTATATCCGGATGATACCTGGTATGTTGTCTGGTTTTTTTCCTTTTTTTTTAAGAAATATTAAAAAATAAATTTAAAACGTAAATATTTTTTTTATATTTCCACTTATATATTTTAAACCTATAGATACACGTCTATATATATATTTTAAAACTCTATTATCTTTTCTATCGTTGTTAAGATAGTAGATAAATCTAATATAGACTTTGATAACTTTAATATTATCTTAACTTAAAATAAGTTTTGATGATCATGATACAATTTTGAAAAAAAAAATTATTTAATTAATTTTATAAAACTGATTTACAAAATCTGCATCAATTTATTTATTACAAATTATTTTGTTTCTAGTTTATATAAAATCTCTAATAACTTACCTCTCAATTTTTGGACAAGCAGCTTTCACTCATTATTTTTCCAATTATAATATGCAAGAAAAATGTACAACAACCTAGAAAAACATGATCTCACTAAAAGAATTTTTTTAAATAGTATTCAATTTTAAAGATAAAAATTAATTAATTATTATAGTAACTAATTTAAATATTAAAGTAAAAATTAAAAAAAAATTATTTGTAAAATAGTTATTATAAATAAAAAATTATAATTAATTAGATTATGACTATAAAAAACTAATATCTAAATTAATTACTATTTATAATAGCGAGTAAATTTTAATTTATAAAATAATATCTAAATTAATCACTGTATTAATCAATTAATTTTTTTATCTTGATTACTATTTAAAAATTTACTTGTAAAACAAACCTTTTCTATCCTTACAAGTGATTTCCAAGAAAAATAAGCATGGAATCAGAAAGAGACCAAGATTCGTATCTGTTTCTTTCTGGCATCTCTTGCTCATATTTCAAGACAGATTGTTATTGTTGTTGCTATCATCAACAAACAGAATTGTTTCGTGTGTAATAATAGACAAGATTGTCTATACTAATTGATTCATTTTTGCTCAGTAACTTTTATTTGGTCTCTAATAATTTCAGATATTTTGTACCTTAAAATCATACTGATGTTTCATTTTCCTTTTCTTAAAAACTGAACCTTGTTTCATTTGCTTGTGATTGGTGCAGGTGAGGCAGGTTTTCGCCATAAATAATTCTGGGAAGAACTTGCGTTGTCATGTTATACTAATAAACCAACAATTACAAGCATTCTCCATCATATATATATATATATATA